CCAGGATGGTCTCGATCTCCTGACCTCGTGATCGGCCCGTCTCGGCCTCCCAAAGTGCTGGGATTACAGGCTTGAGCCTGTAGTAGTAGAAATGGGTTTCTCCATGTTGGCCAGGCTGCTCTCGAACTCCTGACCTCAGGTGATCCACCTGCCTCAGCCTCCCAAAGCACTAGGATTACCAGCATGTGCCACTGCGCCTGGCCATGCCTGGCTAATTTATATATATATAAATAAATATATATCGGGTCTTGCCATGTTGCCCAGGCTGGGTGAACATTTTTGATTATGTGGCCAGGGAAGGTCTCATTGAGTAAAGTCTGGAAGGAATTCTGGGGAGTGTGCCAGGTGACTGGGTGAAAAAACATCCCAATCAGGGGGAATTTAACTTACAAACGTCCATGGCTTCTCGGCAACCTATGCGCACACTCAGAGGTTCTCAGGATAGGTGCAAATCTAACCCCTATTTTTTGCTTTAGAATGCAACACTGGGGGGGCCAGGCGCAGTGGCTCACTCTTGTAATCCTAGCACTTTGGGAGGTAGAGGCGGGTGGATCATCCGAGGTCAAGAGTTTGAGACCAGCCTGGCCAACACAGTGAAACCCTGTCTCTACTAAAGATACAAAAATTAGCCAGGCATGGTGGCGTGTGCCTGTAGTCCCAGTTACTCAGGAGGCTGAGAATCGCTTGAACCCGGGAGGTGGATCCTGCAGTAAGCCGAGATCACACCACTGTACTCCAACCTGGGCGACCAAGCAAGACTCCATCTCGCGGGGAAAAAAAAATGTAACCCAGGGTTAAGATTTTTAGAAGGTCACATTTTGTAGCAATGTCAGCAAACAGCAATGTTGCCTTTGCAGGTCCTTGTATTTCAGAGCCCATATATTTGGTCATCATGATGATCGAATTTAGATCTCAGACATTTTGGTAGTTTCCTAATAATCTCACAGGCCTCAGGGCCAGTGTGTCTCAGGTGTCTGTCTGGTGGGGGAGATTTCTCTGGATGGTCCAGAAGAAGATAATCTGCTTCTTACTCTCCTGCAAGCTCTCCCCGCAGCCCTGCAAAGTCTTCTGGGTCTGGTAGGGTCTGCAGAGAAATTTCTGTCTCCTGAGTCAGCAGGAAGTTCCCAGACTAGCCCTAGGTGGCTTTAGGGGAGGAGCTCTGGGCAGGGAGCCAGCTGCCCGTGCCGCATACCTGAAGCCAGGTGTGTCTTTGGAATGCCTTTGCACTTCCTGTTTGTCACCTGGACCAGGGCTAGCCTCGGTCTCAGAGTCTCCCAACCCCAAGTTCCTGCCTTGTGTCTCCCTTAGTAAGAGTGAAGTTGAGTCAATGGCAAGGTTCTGGTTAGTTTGGGGACACAGGGTGGCCATAGGTCAGTCAAAGGCCAACTAAGTCATTCTCCTGCCTCTGAGTCCTTTGGGATCATTTATTCGAGCACAGAAGAGAAGAAGGGGGCAGAGTCAGGCATCAGACCAAGCATGGGGAGAGGAGAGGGAATTATTCATGTTCCAGTTGGATCATAAACATGTGTCCACGTGTGGGGAGGGATGTGGAGGGTGGGAACCACCAGCACAGGCGATACAAACACAGATGTATGCAGGACTCGCTTTTGACATTGGACGAACATTGCTGGAGTACTTGCTGTGCACCAGGCTCTGTTCTAGAACCTAGAGATACAGTGACTAAGGAGATTAAAGCCTGGCACCGCCCTACCCTCCAGAGCTTGCAGTCAGCTGGGCAAGAGAGACCACAAACAAGCGCGAGATGAATGGAGAAGACAGACCATTTCTAAGAGTTATCAATGAAAGTGATAAGCCAGGGAGATGTGATAAAGGAGGCTGGACAGGACAGCCTCTCCTATAAAGTGACATTGGAACTGAGACCTCAGTACAGAAGGAGGCAGTTAGGCAAAGATTTCGAGGAGTCGTCTGGGTGAGGCGTACAGTAAGGGCAAAGGCCTGGAGGTGAGGTGGACTTGCTTTTTATATTTTACATCATCAAGGCGGCTGGTGTAGCCGGAATATCATGAGCAAGGAGCAGATAGGAGGGCAGCGATGTTAGAGAGATCAGGAGGAGAGACCGGGCAGAAACTGGTGGACTTTGAATTTTAATCTCTACTGCCCAAGGGTTTTAAGTAAAGGAGGGGCCCGATCTGATTCGCCGTTTAAAAGGATCACTCAGGCAAAGATGGAAACAATGGCTTTCTGTGCTGCACAGGAAATACACTTAGGGGATCACGCCCAGGTGAGCCCGGGCACACCGACACGCGTAATGCACAGCGACCCACTCATTCGCGAGGTGACCTCTTCTACCCCAGATCCTCCCTGCGAGCCGGTGGCCCCACCTGGAAAGAGAGGACGCCCCATCCCAATAATCTTGGTTCTGGATCTGTCCTGGGGGTCCACTCACCTAGGCAGGACCCGCGGGGCTCCCACGAGGCTGGGACCAGGCGGAAGCTGAGGCTCTGCGGCTCGGGGCTGCTGTCACCCCCGCCCTCCACGTTGCCACCGCCCCAGCCTTCCGAGACCACACCTAGCGGGAACCCAGCCCAGTTACCTGACCACGGCTCCTGCAGGCCCCGCCCCCTGCAGGCCCCGCCTCAAACTAACTTCCCAGGCTCTTGCTCCGCCCCCTTGAAACAATTTTTTTTGCTACTAGCCACGCCCCCTGTGCGTGGCACCGCTTTCTCCATAGACCCGGCCCACTAGGGGAGCACTGCGCATCTTTTCCTGTCAATGGCCCCGCCCCTTGTACATAGCCACGCCCACCCCCGAGTGACTACGCCGACTCGCAACCACCTCCTTCTTAGCCCCGCCCCTTAGGGAAATAGAACAAATTTCATCCCAACTTTCCCGCCCCTTAGAACCCGGCCTCTCCCTTCCACCCAGGCGGCCCCAAGCACCCATGGTCCTTTGGTACCAGGGTGGGGTGGGGTGGGGTATCTCTCTCCCTTCCCCGCCAAGGCTCTGGGTCAGGGCAGGGCAACTCCCTCGGGCTCTTACGCCAGGCTGGGGTAGCTGCGGCGGCTGTGACGTAAGGAGGGGTGCGCTTCCTCCAGACCGCCCTCCTGGATTTTCCGGAAAGAAGCCCCATTTGGGTGGCGGGTTTTGTGGAGAGATATCCGGGAAAACGCGACAGCTTCCTTCAGTGACAGCACGCTGGAGGGGGGCGGGACTTTGGGGGAGGTGGAAGGCAAATCATTCAGGTGGTTTCCTAGGTGGGAGGAAGGGTAGGGGGGACTTCCATCATGATGCCTGGAGATGAACAAGAGAAAAGGTGACAGGGACCTAGTGCAAGAGAGAGGACGCTTTGGCCACGTTTATTGATAAGTTCCTCATATTAACATCAGTCGTGTCTTGTAGAGACGGTGTCTTGCTATATTGCCCAGACTGGAGCACAGTGGCCTGATCATAGCTCACCGTAGCCTCAACTTCCTGGGCTGAAGCGATTCTCCCACTTTAGCCTTCCAAGCAACTGAGGCTAAAGATGCACACCACCACGCTCAGCTAATTTTATTTTATTTTTTTTTGTAGAGATGGGGTCTTAGTATGCTGCCCAGGCTCTGGAACTCCTGGGCTCATGCGATCTTCCTGCCTTGGCCTTCCAGAGCGCTAGGATTACAGACATGAGCCACTGTGCTTGGCCCGGTAACTACAGTCTGAAAAGCAGTAGCAGCAGCTAACATTTATTGAGCATTTACTGTATACCAGGGCTGTTCTGTCAACTTGCCTTTTTTTTTTTTTCTTTTTGAGACAGAGTTTCACTCTCGTTGCGCAGACTGGAGTGCAGTGCTAGCAATCTCAGCTCACTGCAACCTCCACCTCCCAGGTTCAAGCGATTCTCCTGCTGCAGCCTCCCGAGTAGCTGGGATTACAGGCTAATTTTTGTATTTTTAGTAGAGACGGGGTTTCACCATGTTGGCCAGAGCAGTCTCAAACTCTTGACCTCATGTGATTCACTTGCCTCGGCCTCCCAAAGTGCTGGGGTTACAGGTGTGAGGCCTCTATTTTACTTTTCAAACAGACCACCCTGTAAGGGTGATAGGTAGTATTTTCATCACTTCCATTTTCCAGATGGAGACACTGAGGCACAAGGCAGCTAAACCATTTGCCCAAGTTAACCTGGCTTGTAAGTGGTAGAGGCGAGAATCAAACCCGGAGCTCCGGAGTTTCATCCTGTCTGCCTCCCTTTCAATCTTCGCATGCCTACTTTCTCCAGGATGCTGCTTTGCAGTGAAAGTTACTCACCCACCATTTTGCAGATGAGGAAATTGAGGCCTAGAGGGCCAAGGATGCTTGGGGATGAAAAGTTTTGATGCCTGTAGGGTTGCAAAGCAGGGAATTTCCAGACTGGGCTCCCCCCACCGGCCCTGGCCAATGTGGAAGAGACTCCAAGCTCGAGAGCGGAAGAACGTTTCTTCCTTATCCCCCACCGGTCTAGTATTGGTACAGTCAGAGGCTATGGGCCTGTCCAGGGAAGGGGTCTAGCGCCTCCTCGTGGTTATAATAATTTAAAAAGAGGGCCCAGTACTTTGGGAGGCCGAGGTGGGCAGATCACCTGAGGTCAGGAGTTTGAGACCAGCCTGACCAACGTGGTAAAACCCTGTCTCTACTAAGAATACAAAATTAGCTGGGTGTGGTGGCGTG